CTGACCCCAGAGGAGAGCTTGACCCCAGTGAGCGCCGAGAAGCCGGAGGAGACCATGGAGGTCTCCGTCACGGAGACCCCACCCCAGGGCGAGCAACCCCAGGAGCCCATGGAGAAGGGTGGCGATGGGGCGCCGGGGGACGAGGCAGGAGAGGCCGTCTGACGCGCTGCAGAGGCGGGAGGACAGAACGTAGTATCTCGACTCGTGCAGGGCTCCGGGATCGAGGGATGGGAGGCGGGCCGGAGCGTGGTTGGGGGGCAGGAGACTGGGGGTCCCTTCAGACGAGCTCATTTCATGAGGAGGAATCAAAGTTGTTTCTCGGGGCATACTTTATTTTTAATAAAGTATTAGTCAAGTTTATTTAGAGAATTCTTTTCTGAGTTTATAGTAGCCAGAGGGCAGTTAGGATGTCTAGGTAAGTGCTATTCGTGTCTGGAGTGTTTCAAAGTGTAACCCACACACCGGCATTGTACACTATCCTGCACATTGTCAAACGCTGTACACACACAGTGCCATGACCTGAACACTGCTCACGCACACACACACACACACGGTGTGATATGACCTGAACACTGCTCTCTCACACACACACACGGAGTGACATGACCTGAACACTGCTCACACACACACACACACACACACACACACACACACACGGAGTGACATGACCTGAACATTGCTCTCACGCACACACACGGAGTGACATGACCTGAACACTGCGCTTACATACGCACGCACGCACTGCGTGACGTGACCTGAACACTGCTCACACACTGGAACACTCCAGTACACACGAGTACTCTTTGCTCCTGTCTTGCCCTCCTGAGCCCGACCCCAGGTCCCGTTCTGAGTGGGAGCCAGAACCCGGATCAGAGCAGCTCAAGGCCAGAGACGGCCTGCCTCCCGCCAAGAAATCCAACTGTGAAAAGCCATTTCCGTCTTAGTTCAATGATATGCAGAAATGTTTGTTTTTTTCCTGTTAAAAGTGATATCAAGGACTTGCCTGGTTTATTATTCTTACTTTGTTTGGTCAACCTATCTTTTAACACGGAGTATTAAATTGGAGTTTGAAAAGGAAGTTTGTCCCCTGTGCTTTGCTAGATGTGAACATCCAGCAGGCCCTTTGGGCTGCCTGCCAAAACCCTGCCGCCGTGACAACGAGAGCCTCGGCACACCACCTAGCACAAAGCAGAGCAGACACAAACACAGCCGCAGGTGCCGACATCCCTCCCGCCACTCGGGTTCACGCAGTGCCCATTCGTTAAAGCACAGGTCCCAGACTCGGATCCCAGATCCCGGAGGGGCCTCACGATTCCTGTGTTTGTGAAGACTGAGCTCTTCACACCCCTCCCCTCCATCCATTTCCTCACCAGCCTGTCCCAGGAGCCGGAGCAGGAGCCGGAGCCTGTCCCAGCAAGCCCAAGGCACGAGGCAGGACACGTCCTGGACGGGACTTGTTTTTCTTCCTTGTCTTGCACACATATGTTTCTCATGAGACTGCGTTCATGTTGGATGTATCCTCCTGTACCTGCCCGTATAGTAGAATTCCCATCTGGGACAAAGGAGGAAAAAAAAGAAAAATGACACGTATAGCTCTTTTCTGGACACTCCACTCAAAGCGCTTTACAGGTAATGGGGATCCCCTCCACCACCACCAGTGTGTACCCCCACATGGATGATGTGACAGCAGCCTTAGTGCGCCAGTCCTCTCCCCACACACCAGCTCTCAGTGGGAGGAGAGCAGAGTGATGGAGCCAGTTCAGAGAGGGGGATTATTAGGAGGCCATGATGGGTAAAGGCCAGGGGGAAATTTGGCCAAAATGGCAGGGTTATGCCCCTACTCTTTTCGAGAAACACCCTGGGATTTTTAATAACCTCAGAGTCAGGACCTCGGTTTTATGCCTGATCCTTAAGACAATGCCTTTTTACAGTATAGTGTCCCTGTCACTATACTGGGGCATCAGGACCCACACAGCCTGCAGGGTGAGCACCCCCTACTGGCTCCACTAACACCTCTTCCAGCAGCAGCCTCAGCTTTCCCAGGAGTCTCCCCTCCAGGTACTGGCCATGCTCACACTGCTGAGCTCCAGGGGGCTGCCAGCTGGGAGCAGAAAAGGGGTTGCTTGCGAAGGGACAGCTCTGGGGTCTCCAGTCACCCCTAAACCGTGTGTCTTTGAGGTGGGAAGCAGCTGCAGGGCGTGGTGGGCTTCCGGCTCACAAGCTGGGCCTCCTGGGCTCGCTTGTGAAACCCAATGAAAGGGGACCTCTGACAAACGAAGGAGCTGGAATCGACGTTTTCCTTAATGTTTTACAGCGGTTAAGGGCTCGATTATACAACCGCACTCCGAGTGCGTGGGGATCTCCTGTGCTGGGATAGGGAACCCCCTTCCTGCAGGATAGGAGGAGGCAGGAAAGAGTATTTTGTATTGAGTTTATTATATGTGTTCCTTCCATTGGACAGGGGTGACGCGAGGTGTGCTCCGACAGCCCGCACTGAGACTGCAAAGCCGGTCCTTGAAAATGTTAACCTTAACCATTAACGCATGTTTGTATACAACCAACTACTGAAGGATTCCAAACACCTTAGAATATCCAAGGATCACAGCGGAAACGAGAATAAAAGCAGGAATATTATAAACACACAGTGCATAAACACGAATTGCTTTGCTTGCCGTAATAACCTGAATTCGACACTGGGCAGAACTTCTGTTCTGCTGTTTTATTACAATTTAATCATTTGCGAGACCTTGATTTCCCACGTTTGTTTCTGATTTTATTTATTTCAATTACACGTATCGAATCACTGGGAGGTGAGAAATGGAAGTGAACTCTCATATTAAGTCCTTACAGTCTTTAGTCGCGTTGTTAAAAAGGATGACATCATCGTTTACGTCGATATGTGACGTAGTACGCAAGGCAACTGTTTATCCTAACAACGGATCCTCGTGTTGAGACGGTTTCCACGGGCAACAGCACACAGCGACCCAGGAACCAGAGAGCGGTTGGACGTTTTGGGTTTAAAAACCGCAGGAGCCGCGATGATTAATTAATTATTAAGTGTTATTAACGATATACAGAAGGACGCAGAGTCACGGCGCACGTAGCTGAAGCCAAGTGCAGCGCTGTTAAAATGTAAAACTCTCAAAAGTGTGTTTCGCAAATTCTGGCTGCAAAGGACGATCCAAACGAATTCGTGTCTTCCCGTGGACTGACGGATTGATTGAAATATCTCGACTTCAGTTGTGTTCTTTTTTATTATCTGGGGAATTCCGACTTTTCCATTGACTGCTCATGATGGAGACAGCGGAGGAAGCGCTCAGTCACCAGAGAGAGCTGGCGGTGCGCAGCGCCAAAGCCTACCTGCTGAAGAGCAGCACCGAGACCGGCCTGAACCTGTGAGTACAGCCCTGATTACACTATCACTGCTGATCAGAGTAATAACAGCACAGAGACACCTGCTCCTGT